CTGCCGCGTCTGGGTACCTGAGCAGAAACATCCATCCGTCCTCTCTGTCCGTCTCCTCCTTCTGACTCTACCTGGCCATACCTTACCTACTGCTCTTTATCCTCCTTGGCCTCTCTCTCTCTTTTTTTTTTTTTTTTTTTTTTCCCACACCCCCCTCTACACTTACTCTTTTCCCCTTCCTCCCTTCTTCTTTCTTTCCATTCCTCTATTTCTCTCTCTCCGTTTCTTCCTCACTCCGTCATCCTCGCCACCCTCCCCATTAAATAATATTATTCCGTATCCAGCAAACGAAGACCCGGGAGGAGGAGGAAAGAAAAAAAAGAACGACACCCCAGGATTACCGGTGCGGCGCATCCAATAACGGATCCTTGAAACATCAGTAAAGAGAGACATCGCCTCTTACATATACTTTTCCCCAGGGCCCAATGACACTGATAAGCCAGGCTTATCTCATCCTTGCCTTCATCGTCACTTGAGCCCACCCGATATCGATCCATCCAAAAGCAAGTCGCCCAATCCCAGGAATTGCATCTGGCCCCAAATTCGGCCCTGCATCCGCACCCCCAAAAACAAAAACCACCACCATCCATTTCCATCACCAAAAACGGGCGCAAATCAACCCATCTTGCCCACTCTCGCAGCGCCGCTTTATCTCTATCTCTATCGGCCGCCCAAATCCCCGACCACCACCAACTCGGAATCCTGCAACCTAACCCACCCCCGATTTCTAACATAGCACCAGAGGGTATTCTAGCGTCCCCGTTTACAATTCCCGTTGCTGCTTATCTCGTACCTCTTCGCCTCGCGCAACACCTTGGGTTACCTTCTTGCACCTTACACAATCCTCGCGTGGTCTTTGTTCCACCGTTCTCCAACTCGACCTAGTCTCGACCCCAGCCCCCGTCAGTCACGTCAACCCTCGCAATCGCACCCGGTCGACGTCCGTCCGCCGTTCTCGCTCAGTCCGTCTTCGCTCTACCAAGCTTCCACCGCATTACCCTTATCTCGACCGGCCTCGGCCTGCCGTACGGGGTAGCGTTATCTCAGAGAGAGACAGAATCCTACAGGTCTTCCCGTGTTGGCCAATCTGCTGCTTTGTGTTACAGCACAGGCTCGCACGCCACATTTCAGTGAGAGTAAGAGTGAGAGAGAGAGAGGGAGAGAGAGGGCAAGGGCACATTGAATCGGCCGCCAGCCAATCCTATCTGGCGGATCGTGCATCTCGTGCTACGTACTCGTTTCTGGCCTCAACTCAACCAAAGAGAATCTATTGCTGTCGACCTCTGGTGGCGGCCCCAAGACCACTCCCACCAGGCACATTACATCACTTGCATCTCCTCTGCCGCCGCGCCGTGGGGCTCCAGTCGACGTGCCCAGCTTTCATCCCGGCCAAGTGTGCCAGCCTTCTTTGCCCGTCTGGCATTCAGGCAAGCCTATCGTCCTATCACCGCCGTCACATCTCCGGAAAACCAGGAGAGCAGTAACTCACACCCGCCTCAACCACCCCCCCAAATCTCGTTCTCCAGGCCAGACCAGGGCCGGGGCCCCGTCTTGACGAACCGGGTCCGTCCGCCCGTCTTTCTCCCCTGCGTCGGCCCAGCCCTGTCCGTATATACATAGCTTTCTTCTACTGCCACGCCTGCTACCTACCCATCATGTCCAACCCAAGTGCCGTCGTCAGGACGGCTCCCATCGCCATTGCTCCAAAGCCTCCCCGCCGCCAGAACTCTTATCTCCAGGACAGCTTCACGAACCTCGATATCCTCCGCGGCAGCATGCCTGGTCGGGAAATCACCGAGTCTGTCGGCTCATACACAACGCGTTCTCTCAGCCCGTGCGAATCGTGTCAACGTTCTAGGGTCAGGTGTATTGTCAGCGAAGACGACGACAGCTGCATACCCTGCCAAGCTAGCGGCTCAGACTGCTCCCTGCTCAACAGCCCTCAGCCGAGGAAACGAAAGCTGAACGGCGACTTTGACGACCCCATTGGTAAAAGAAGGTCAGTTCCAATTGCCTCTCACTTCATTCGTCTAGTTTCTCTTTCCCTCCCCTCTCCTCCCGCTCCTCCTCCTCCTAACTCCTGCTATCCCCCGCGCGCGCGTGTGGCCTTAAGACTGGCACTGCTTCCTCCTCCCCGCTAGCTTGGGTCGCTTCCCCTTGTCATTTCTTCTTTTCTGCGCCCGTTGGATGTTTCTTGGGCTGCCATGGGGGCGCGCCGCAGCCAAGGGGGTCACGTCTGATAACGAACCTTAATCTCTGACACGTGATTGGTCCAATAGCTCGCCCATCAGGACCGATATCAGAAGGCGAAGGCAACACCAACCCAGCCTTTCCAGTACTACCGGCAGCAGCTCCTTCATTGAAGACATGGCGAACGTCGGAGGCCCAACTCTGCTCAAGCGGACGCTGGGTCTCCAAAACGACCGGTACAGCCAGTACATCGGTCCGACCACCGACTTTGAGCCTTCTCTCATCAACCTCTCACCATTTGATCCCCATGACGAGAGTCTTCTGGCCCGCGGCACCCTCCGCAAGGTCAGCGACGATGACACCTTTCTACTATTACCTGACTTCAACACCCCGGGCCACGAGCACGTCTTGGAGGATGTCGAGGCTATAGAGGGTCTCGTCCGGCCCCATGGTCGCAAGCTTGTCGACCTCTACTTCCGCATCGTTCATCCCGCATTTCCGATCATCCAAAAAACCGTCTTCCTGGAAAAGTACGAGCGCAGCTATCGCGAATTTTCTCCTTGTTTATTGGCAGCCGTCTACCTGTTTGCGATCAACTGGTGGGAGCACGATGAGGACCTGGCCCGACTACCGAAACCAAACATTTCCGACATGGAGCGGCTGATCCGGACGACCCTCGCAGACGCCATGTACAGGCCGAAACTGTCCACCATCCAGGCTGGCCTTCTGCTGTCACAGCGACCCGAGGGCGACCAGTGGGCTCCGACAGCCCAGCTGGTCGCGATCGCCCAGGAACTTGGCCTGCACCTCGACTGCACGAACTGGAAGATACCTCCCTGGGAGAAGGGGCTGCGGAAGCGCCTCGCATGGGCTTTGTATATGCAGGATAAATGGGGATCTCTCGTTCACGGCCGTCCATCGCACATCTTCTCCTCAAACTGGGGCGTGCAACCGCTGACACAACATGATTTCCCCGACGTCGAGTGGGACGAGAACGATGTGGAGGAGAAATTGGAAATCGAGCGTGGCCGAACTCTGTTCGGTCAAATGGTTCAGCTGTCGCAAGTCCTTGCCGAGATTCTCGATACCTTCTTCACATTACAAGCCCAGCAGACCATCACGAATGCAGGCGGACAAGGCACCCACCTGATTTTGTCCATGGCCAAGCCGATACAGCTGAAGCTGAAAGAATGGTACGCCAGCTTGCCCGCGACGATCCGTATGGACAACTCGTACACCACCAACACAGTCCCATCGAATCGTCTGTCGAGTATCGGCTACCTCCATCTCGCCTACTTTGCCACCGAAATCACCCTCCATCGTCGCATTATTCGGTCACTGGAGGCCACCGGCGCGGCCGTCGACCAGTACGTACAGCATATATGCCGCAGCGCAGCCAAGGCTCGTCTCATTTCTGCCATGGACTTTGTCAACCGCCTGAACTCATCTCACTTGCGCTCGTTCTGGTACTTTGCTTCCAAGACCAACTTTGCCCTCATTGGCACTTTTGGCTCCCTCCTTTGGGCAACATCCCCAGGGAGGGAAGAGGCTGATTGGTACCGCCGACGCTTAGGAGAATACCGTTGGACGCTCTCTGTCAGCTCCAAGCCTGGTGAAGGCAGAGGACTAACCAACTTCGCCATGACGATGCTCGATATTTCGACCGGTCTGCTTAAGAAGCTCCCCGAGAAGCCATCGATGAGCCGCAGTGGGAGCGTCGTCGACATGGGGCCTGGAGGCATCAGCAGTAGCTTCGGGAGCAATGGGATCCTAGCACTCGGTCAGAGTGCGCCTCCTACCATGACTTTCGGAAACTTCAGCGGGTTGCCGAGTGCCGACGTCAGCAACGCCCAGAGCCCTCGTAGTCCCAGCGCGGACAGCAGCGACGACGAGATGTACGAGACCTTTGCCCCGACGGCAGGCATGGCCAACATGGCCGATTGACGGTTGCAGCAGCTCCGCTCGGAGCTGCAAGTTGGAATATAATGACACTATGACGAGACGAGACGCTCACTTGAGCAAGCATACCCTCGAGAGAAGCATACCCTCTAAGAGATGCTTCCTGTCGTTTTGCGCTTTCTGTGGGAGGATCAAACTTTTTCGTTATTTGGGTAAAAGGGGGAAGTGCATAATGATCTGCGGGATACCACCGGGTGCTAGGGCGGCGGACAACAACCCAAGAGGGGGTTCGGAGGAGGGGATGATGATATTGGCCGCCGCCTCTGGCTCCTCCCATCTTTGTGACATTTGGACTTTGATTTGGATCGACGACGCAACGGGAACGAAACGCTATCAGCGGTGCCGGCGCAATTCTGGGGGGTTTATACCGTCCGTCATTTTTGAGCGGGGTAGAAAATAGCATCGTCTTTGGATGTTGAGCGATCCATACTTAGCATAGATTGAGATTTGGATGTGAAATGATATACCTTGATGTCCTGTTTTGGCTTATAGACATTGATGGCCCCGGTTCCCTTAACTATTGCCGTTGGATGTTTGTCAGTGACTGGCGAAGTAACGCTTTACGTAGACAGCAACCAACGAGTTACAACTGATTGTTTCCCTGGCGTTTTCGTATTGGTGGGTCAGCCATGAGGAGGTGTCGCAGGAAAATAACTAGAGCCCCGATCATGTCTAGAATATTGCTGTCCTATACCACTCAGACACTGAAATAATAACGGAAAACAGTACTGCAATCGTGTTTAGTAGCTGCTGAGGCTGAGGTGGCTTTTGCTCTTCTGTTAAGCGACAGCCCTGCCTTCGAGTAAGCAGGTGCCTAAGTTAACGATAATTCAGACCGACAAAAGGAATTTCTCCCGGTACGGGACTCGAACCCGTAACCCCTGGATTTCAGTACTTCCTAAAAGTCCAGAACGCTAACCATTGCGCCAACCGAGAAGCCGTGAAGGTGTGTGCTTGTTGACGTCAATGGGCGAGCAAGCAGCTGACACGGGTAGGAGCGTGGCCGTTGGGTGTTCGGGTGAATGAAACTGGTGCTCAGGAAGGTGAGTTTGCAAGGCAGGTTCTCTGTTACCAAAGTGGAGTCGCCCAAGCTCAGATGAGATCGTACCGCGCGGCGAAAGTGAACGTTTCGAGTCTGGGCTGGACGAGAAAGGATTCGACAATAGCCTAATACCCTTCCAGGTTGCCGGATGGAGTTTATTGCTATGACGAAGACTGACAGGACGGGTGGGTTGTGTCTGGCGAGACTGCCACTGTCAAGTCAACGAAAAAGTCAAGTCACTCGATCTCGTTGTGCTTCTTACAGACTCAGGAAATACTGATGTTCTCCTATTCTGCAGCCGTGTTTCTTGGGCTCACGATTGAAGAAGCTCTAGATTTGGTACTCCTGACTGTTTCAGACCGTTGATTGCTGCTCCGAGGAAGCTGAACGACCATCGAGAGGCAGCTCTACTTCATCTTGAATGATTCACGTCTTTTGATGACGAAAATACTCGTGTAAGTCGATGACGGGATGGCATCGTTGATGCGTGCGGGAAGGTTGGACGACGAACAATGGTGAAGTAGCCTCGACAGGGATTGTTGAAGAGACACGAGCGGCTTGAAGTTTCAAGAGTACGGTATGTGCGGAAGGGTCAGCTCAAAAGTCTCAAGGGATACAGAGTCGTGGTGGGTTGGGCCGCCTCATGTATCCGGCCTCCAGCCAAAGCACGCAATCGATGGTGACAATTGCCCATCAGCCTCGCCTTCGACCAGGAGTTACACGGCATCCATCCTTTAAAGCGGCAACCGTCGGCTCAATTCAAGACATTGGTTGATATTGAGTAAGAGGCATAACCAATTGCCATCCAATACGTATTGAAGCTTTAGACTTGGACGGTTGGATGCCTTGCTGAATGGCGGCAACCGTGCATATCGACAAACGACAACAGTACGACATCCGCACATGCAATAGTACGGGTCTGACAGTATAATCCTGTGGCGAATGTACCTTTTGTATTACTATGCACATACACGAGCGAGAGCCGACTTCTACTGGACCAGTCCGTGGGAGGCAAGCGACAATTAAGGGAAGAAATGAAGCGAAGTCCTCGGGGCGATACGTACTTCCTCAATCCCCATTATATAAGCAAATTGCCCCGCGGTACCGATGCCACACAGTGACACCCCACCATGTCCGACGCGGTTGAACATTCTCCATCATCGTCATCATCAAGGCGACCAGAGACCACCACGACCTCGAGCCGTCGCAAACCCACTCCGCCAATGCGCGACCCATAACCACACATCAGCGCCCTCACGGAGACATCCATCCAAGATGCAGGGTTTCAACATGGGACGCTACGTCCCGCCCGACGTCGAGGGCACGACGTCAGGCAACAAGCTCCACGGCAAACACGCCCTCGGCGCGCGCGCCTCCAAGCTGTCCTCCGGCATCCTCACCGTCCGCTTCGAGATGCCCTACGCCATCTGGTGCTCCACCTGCCCGAAGCCCACAATCATCGGCCAGGGCGTGCGCTTCAACGCCGAGAAGAAGCGGGTCGGCAGCTACTACTCGACGCCGATATGGCAGTTCCGCATGCGCCACGCCGACTGCGGCGGCGCCATCGAGATCAAGACCGACCCGAAGAGCACGGCGTACGTGGTCGTGTCCGGCGCGAAGAAGCGGGACGTGGGCGAGGACGACACCGCGGTCGGCGCGGTGCCGAGGGAGGGCGCGATGGTGATCATGACGGACGAGGAGAGGCAGAAGCTGAGGAGCAACGCTTTTGCGAGCTTGGAGAAGACGATCGAGGACAGACAACTGCTCGCGCAGGCGACGGAGAGGATCGATGAGCTGGAGGACGTTTCGAAGCGGCAGTGGGACGACCCGTACTCCCGCAACAAGGCCCTGAGGCAAACATTTCGGGTTGGGAGAAAGGAGCGCGAGAAGGAAGCTGCGGTGGGCGAGGCGCTCAAGGATAAAATGAGTCTGGGCATCGATCTCGTGCCCGGGACGGAAGAAGATGCGCAACGGGCGGCACTGGTGGACTTCGCACCCGACGATGATGCCCCAAGCGTCGGCAAAGCATTGGCGAAGCCCTTGTTTCGCTCTGCGGGCAGCTCCAGGAAAGCTCAGGCCGAAGCTCCAAAGGGCACGCCAAAAGCGGAGCTGTTGGCGTCAAAGAGAAGGCATCATATTGTGTCGGAGATTGTAGGCAATACACGCATGTCGCAAGACCCATTCCTGCTAGATGCGCGGACGGAGCGGACACCACCGAGGATACCCGGTCTGAAGAGGAAACGGGACGTAAAAGCTGAGGATCCAAAGACGATTGAAGACGGGCCGAAGTCGCTGCCTTCCAAAGCTCTAGTGGGCTACGATTCAGACTCAGGATGAGGTAACCCCGAAGTTTTACGACATGGCGTTTTGAGAGAGGCACACTTTGTGATACCCAGGGATTTTAAGTATTGTCTATATATGGTTCGGGATGAGCGATGCATCAGGACATTATTTGACTCATCGCGTGCCTTCTACACAAAAAGAAGAAGAAAAAAAGGTGAAACTGGTTGGCTTGCCGCGCAACGCTGGCCACATTATTTGAATAGCACGGTCGCTGTGCAGATACACAAACACCCCAGACCTTCTGAGCCACGGTACTTGTGACGGCTAGTTTCGATCAGTATATAATCATTGGCAACTATGGGAGGCCCCTGAAGGAATGGACCGTATTGATCGAATGTCGACCAAAGATTCAATCCGGGGTGACAATGAGCATGCCCCAGTCTCCGTCGGCCAACCCTTGTCGTCTTCTCGAGGCATGTCTCGTTATTCAGGCCGTCCTGTGTTGTTGCAAACTCCGAAAATGATCCCATACATGCCTTCCTTATCCATAAACGCAAAGAAAATGCCCCCAGCTGCGAACCCCTGGTCGTAGAGGTGTTGCAAAGAGCGGGAGTACAGAATGCAAGACCAATCGAGCCCGGGGAATATAAGTGTCCATCGACGCCAGTTCCATGAATGCTTCTAACAGATTTCTCGAAGGTCGTTGCGTTCATACGTCGTCGAGGCGGCCGGCGGGCTCCTCGTCGTCATCCCCAAAACTGCCAACTGAGGACATGGCGTCGTCGGATTCGCTTTCGCCATCCTTCTCGTCGGCGGCATCTTTGCTCGCGTACTTTTGCACATATTCTGCACTATTGTCAGTGATAACTGCTGTCAAGCTGCGTGCGCCTGCGTGCGCTGGTCTCACGTACCCTTTACTTTGGCGTCATAGCTCTTGGGTTCCCTGATCATCAAGGCGGCCGCCTCGCCATTCAGGGGGTCTGTCGGGTTCGGGTATCGCAAGAGCTGGGGAAGAAAGACCTCGAAAATGTTGATCATGTCGAACATGGGCGACCAGGTCTGGTTAATGACGTCCAAGCAGACGGAACCCGACCTATACAGTATCCCCCATCAGTTCCTCGCTCCGGATGCAACCCAGGACGTTGTCCGTCTCTTATGAAAGTTCCCATGACTCACAGCTCGTCGATGTTTGGGTGGAAGATACGGTTTACGAAGCCGATGCTAGGCGACTTGTATGGGTACTGATCGGGGAGCTCGACGTGGACCTTCCAGACGCCGCCTTCGAACGGGGCTACGGTTATTTAGCTTGACTATCACTTTCCGGAAATCGCGCGTACTGACTCTCGGCGGGGCCCTTGAAGCGAACATAGAACTCTTGCCTGGGTCGGTGTCGTTAGAATGGAAGTCGTTGGGCGTGGGGTTCGGTCCTTACACTGCAATGTTGTCAGCTGACCCAAAGGCTTGAGTATGTTGGTGAACGGAATGCAAGCTTACTGTTGTCATTCACCAAAGTGACTTCGTAGTCACTCATCAACCTGCATATGTCAGTCCAAGCAACAGGGGCCGTGGATTCGCGAGCCGCACATCCTGGGCCATGTTAGCAAAGTAGCATCATCGTGGCGTGATCTTGGGTGATTCACTTCATGACCTAACAAACAAAAAGAAACGTCAGTCTTCTGGTAGCCTCTGAGGCTCTAGAAAGCGGTAGCAAGGCAGACTCACATCAGTCTCGATTCTTCTGCGTGGGCTACTCATGATGAGGGTTGCGCGGGGGGTTCGGACGATGGCAGGAAAGCAACGGCGGGTAGAGGTGGACTAGACAGCTAGTTGGACGTTAAGTTTGGAACAGTATGTCTGTTAAATCGAGTTGCTGTTTAGACTCGGATGGGCTTGAATTTCTACGAAAAGCGCGATCGTGTTGGCTGAATCGAGAGAAAGGAGATGTCGGTTGTTGTAAAGAGGGGAGAAGTTGGCTCGGGTTCCTGACGCCAAGTCACGCGCGATGATGATGTGGGCGATCCCGGACCACAGCTGATAAGTGCCACGATAAGGAAGGTGGGCCCGAGGATTAAGCGGATAGATTCAGCGTGGGATCTTGACCCCAGCGCTAAGCTATCACCTATCCATAAATCCACCTTGCCTACCTGGGGAAGGTAGACAATGCGAACTTTCTTAGTCGCAAAGACCAACAATACCATGCGGTGCAAGGTAGTGCTGGCGCATGAGAGGCTGGGTATTCCAGCCATTGCTCAGTAAAGTACACGTAGCCCGGGCTGTATTTGCTGGCAAGTAGACGGTGGACTCAAAGCATCGTCCTCATGGCCAGCAAGGCCCTGGATCAATTTGGTAGGAGAGACTCAGATGATGCAACCGATGGCGCTCCGGCAAACGGCAACAGCAAGAGTCAGGGCCGTTCCGTGCAGGTTCGCCGCCGCGAGTACATAGTATGTTCGGGACAGGCCTGCAGGGAACAGCCTGCTGATGCAGAGCAACAATAGGATTGGAGGCGAAAACTGAAGACAAGGCAACGTTGTCACTGAGTTGTAAGCAGACACCGTAATCGCATCCATTTTGAGATTCTCGTATCGCTTGGGGCATTCCTTCTTTGGAA